TTCACTGTTTTTGTGAGAGAATTGAAGGGGACTTGCAAGAACTCAATCAAGTGAAAATTCAAACTTGGTATTGGATAAAGAAGAGAGAGCACAAGTGGAGATTTATTAAGAAACCATTGAAGAGATTCAAGATTTCAAGATTTATCTTCATCTTCTCAATTTATCAAAAATCCGGGTTATGTCTTTCCACTTATATATGGTTTCTTATAATTTCAATATGTTAGGCTAATTTTTCATATTTGTTAGGATGTGATGAACCCTTGTTGTGAATTTTTAATTTGAATAATTTAATTGACATTAATTTATTTAATTGTTTGGATGTTTATTATCATTTTCATGCTTTTCAATTAATTGGCTACTAGTTGAATTGTTTGTGGATTTTGTTGTTATCGAGAGAGACAATAAGATCATTAGCACAAAATAATAAATATTGTGAGATTCGATAGAGGATAGAGATATACGTCTATGCTTCATATAGTTTTTATAAGATGTTCTAACTCGTTTAATGCATTTATCATATTCGCGTCTTTCATCGAGGGATAGGAAGGTCGCATGAGGGGAATAGATTTAATAACTATCGAGAGAGGTTTTCAATTAAAATAGGAACATTCACCAACAAACATGATTTCAAATTGTCGAACTAAAAATGGATTAGTAAGGGGGATTCCACATCTTAGCAATACTTCTCGCTAATTTGATAAATTTTTACTTTGCTTCCAATTTAGTTGCCAGATTAAATATTATTTAGTCACAACTTGATTTTGCTATTCGATTAAGGGTATTATTAATTTTAACTGGATCAAATACATGGTCCTCGTGGGTTCGACACTCTACACACTATTATATTATTTGTTCACGATCCCGTTCACTTACTTGTAATCAAACGATCAATTGCTTCCCAACTTATGATGTCGTGGCATGCCACCTAAGGACTAGGTCTATACCCGTTCGTACTCATAACTGTATCAAGTCACGGTCAGTCTATGGCACCTACGCATGGCAGCACAATGGGCATGCCATGGCACTAGCGTAGTCCCACTCAAAGAGTTGCAACGTGTGCATGCCATGGAACTAATATCAAGAATGAAAGTTGGGAGTTTGAACATGATCAAGTATTGTCTTAGTCTCAATCATAAACGTACCCATCAAGTATCATCACATGCATAGGACTTTGCCAGCACCTTATGAGAAAGCAAATTCTTTGCATTTTTGAGAAAGTATGGTTATTATAGATTTTTTTCGTTCAAGTGGACGATATTGTATGCAAGTAGCTAGTATAATAACGACTAGAGTGTCAAATTCATGGAAATTGATATCTTATTATTATTATTATTATTAACTAAAACTAGATTCAACCAAGGATTGTTTAGTTTTGATTTACTTATTTTTAATTATCAACTAAATAAAACAATAAAAAAGGAAATGAAAGGAAAACTTAAACTCTAATCAAATCATTAAAGTTGTGTAACAAATGTGCATATAGTAGTCAATTTCGCAAAGGTTAAAGATGAAAAATGCAAATTTCCCTATTAAATATTGGTCAATACTCGTAAGTTTAACAATTATTTTCATCCTGTAACGATATTTAGAGAGTTAAGTTTCTGTACTAGAACTACTAATGCATCATATGGAGTATTTAATTACATTTATCTAATGACAACATAACTGATTTAGTCCTTCGAAAAAGAACTAGTCTCATTGAATATTACAGCGCTTCCTCGAAGGAACCACTCAATTCATTGCAAACACAAAATGAATAAAGCAGTCATTTTCGTTGGAAGTCTCCGTAACACTGTCCAGTGGAAAATAAGCCTATAATAGGAGGGAGCGTGCCAACATGGAATTCTTTATATTTTCTTGCTAGCTCACGGAAAGAGTCTCTCCGTGTAAAAGTAAAAACATGTATCTATTTATTTATGTATTTTATTCCCATAATTATTTTTTAATCACCACTTGCCAGTTCAGACCAAAATAAGAAAAGGAAGTTGCTCATAATGTGCAACTGCAGCGATAGAGTGGGACAGCCCCTGGGATATTGAACAAATCATTATTCAAACTTGGCTAGCCAAGAAAAAAAATAAGGAAACTAGAGATATTGATCTTTCGACGAACTTATCAAGAGGATTTCTCAATTTATATAAATGGCTCTTACTGAAATATGTTTAATATAATTCTTGGAGTTCTAATTCTCCAACTAACTAGAATACGAAATAAAAATCTAGGAAAGGTTGTAATCATAGTTCCCACGGCCATGGAATTGCATTTGCTGCAAACCCAATTCATTCTGCCAATTCTGCTTGTATTTTTCTCAATATCAATTTCGAGTTCTACATCAGATGTAAATTCCACAATAGCGAGGCCCAACTGTATGAATCATTGTGGAGATATAAAAATTCCATTCCCTTT